AGCTGTATTAGCATTACCTAGGAATTTATTAGAGATATAGAGTCTCAGGCCCCACCCCAGACCTACTGAATCAGAATCTGGATTTTAGCAAAGTCCCCCGGTGACTGGAGGCCCACTGAAGATTGAGAAGCTCTGCCTTAAGATAACGAAAATGAGACCTCAGTAAGTCCGATGACATTTGTGGAGCGCGGGGTTATGAGTTGAACTGTGTCACCCTCACAAAATGTGTATGTGGGAGTCCTAACCTTCAGTACCTCAGAATGTGTCCTTATTTGAGGAAAAGTTCTTTACAGAGGTAATCAAGTTAAAATGAGGTCGTTAAGGTGAGCCTAAATCCAACATACCTGAGGCATGGCCAAAATTTTTTTTTTTATTAAAAAAAATTTTTTTAATATTTTATTTATTTTTGAGACAGAGAGAGACAGAGCATGAGCAGGGGAGGGGCAGAGAGAGAGGGAGGCACAGAATCCGAAGCAGGCTCCAGGCTTCCAGCTGTCAGCACAGAGCCTGACGCGGGGCTCCAACTCATGGACTGTGAGATCATGACCTGAGCCGAAGTCAGACGCTCAACCGACTGAGCCACCCAGGCGCCCCCAAAATTTCTTAAACAAAAGCTAGAAGATCTCTGTTTATTTGTATGTTATGTATGTGATAGATATGTGATATTTTTCTATGTCTGGATTATATTGGCAAAATTAATTTGTAAAGAGCTTTATTTAATTGGTTTAAAGAAAAAAAAGCGCTTATGTAAATTAAGTAAACTAATCCAAATATTTTTCGAGTTCACATGATTGGAGATAATCTTTGATAAATAAAATCTCCTTTAAGTTGTTAGTTTAATAAAAATGGCGTGTCTTCAGAGTTATCAGCATATATTTTTTTTTAATTTGAGAGAGAGAGAGTACATGTGGAGGAGAGGCACAGAGGGAGAGAGAGAGAATCTTAAGCAGGCTCCACACCTAGCACAGAGCCCGATGTGGGGCTCAATTCCCACAACCCTGGGATCATAACCTGACCCAAAATCGAGAGTCCAACAGCCAACAGACTGAGGCACCCAGTTGTCCCCACAGTTATCAGCATTAAATATAATACCAATAAATAACTGATTCTCCCTGGGCTTATTAGTCAAATAAATTCATGTTATCTCTGTTTCAAAATGTGTTAGCAAGAAAATCCACTTGAGATAGTGTCTAGCTTGTCCAATGTCTCAAAGTTTTTGTGAGTTATGTAAACATAGTTGTTGGGAACAAATGATTTATATCGACAAATATGGGATAAGAGTTTTTAGGCACAATAATTATGTTTTATGGTATGTGTACTTAAAAAAAAAAAGTAGCTTCCACAGATTTTTTTGGTAACTTGAAACTGTCGGGTTTTGCTAAGTTAAATTAAATGTTGGAATTTCATTAAATATCTGGATCATTTTCCAAGCAAGATAAAACACCAAAACATTGACCACTGAACATAGGTTTGTCTACTTTTGTCTTCCTATTGCTGAGAAACTAAAGATAAACTTAGGACTGTTAGTAACCATGTCTTGTGCCACACTGAAAGACTGTACTATTTGAAAGGGTGTATGCTTCTAGGTATTATAAAACGCATTTATAAATTTGTTGGTCCACAATTGCTTACTTATTAGTGTTCACTAAGAATTAAGGGATTCTAATATATAGAATATATATATAGAATATATATAGAGAGAGAATATATATATTAGAATTCTAATATATATATATATATAGATAGATATGAACGATAAGGAGGGAAGAAAATGACCATATATGAGAAGAAGGCAAGGAAGGGTGTGCATTATTGGTAAGAGAATAGTAAGTTGTAGAAAGTTTGTGGAAAAGAAATCTTTGAAAAGGAATTTTAATGTGTGGTCCAGCTAGCTAAGATTAAAATGAATTTATTTAAAAATTAGTTAATATCGGGGGCTCAGTGGGTTAAGTGTCCCACTTTGGCTCAGGTCATGATCTCACCGACTGTGAGTTCGAGTCCTGAGTTGGGCTCTGTGCTGACAGCTCAGAGCCTGGATCCTGCTTTGGATTCTGTGTCTCCCTCTCTCTCTGCCCCTCCCCTGCTCGTTCTCTCTCTCTCTCTCTCTCTCTCTCTCTCTCTCTCTCAAAAATAAATAAAAACATTTAAAAAAAGAGAAAAGAAATGGAGTAGTTAACAGACTCTTATCTAAGATTTCCCAATTTCAAATCTGTCATCCACATGGATTCTCGGATTAGTAACATTAATAGAAATACTTGTTACAGCATTAGCTGTATTAGAGTTATTAGCTGGAAGGAACCTTACATAAAGAAACTGAGTCCTGGTGCAGCGAGAGATTTACGCAATATCACCTGGCTAATTAGGTGTCGATACAAGACCAGGATCCGTATTTCACAGCTCTCGTCCAGGGTTCCTGACAATCTACCTGGAATACATGGCTTTGGTAGCTGGAGATCATAGAACAGAGTGTCTATGATAATATACATTGCTTTACATTAAGCACATGGATTTTGCATCAAGTAGTTTTAATTATAAGGCTATAAATATGTCAAAAGGATCTGACAACATCTTCTTAAGTTACAAGAGTGAGCTCAAGTAGTTTCTGATGTGGGCATATTCCCAAGAAGAATGAGTTTTATAGTCAGGAGGTACCCAGGCTTCTCCCTCCCTCTTCCTGGCCCCCTGTTTCCTCTTTTAAATTCTGTTGGTTTTAACATTAGAAAATGTCATAGAGAAATCAAACATAAATCAAATTATGGAAATGCAGAAGAAAGATTTCATCCAAGTTGTTTTTCTTCCTTTTATCTTCTCATCTTTGAATGATGGTAGGTTTTAATCTCCAGAGAGACCTCTTTGGAACTCCAAATAGGAAAAACTGTACCTTTTCTATGAGATACTAAGCATAGCTGCTATCTTCCTTTGGAAATAGTATATTAGTCTATATATATATATATATATATATATACACACATAATGAGTGTAAAGAAGCAAATTCATAAAACTATCTCTTTAATTAGCTATCAGACTCCTGGACAAAACTAGAAGCTGATAGGTTTTGTTTTGGTTTGTTTGTTTTTGGAGCTGATACTTTTAATAGGACATATGTGAGGTGTGAAAATTCTTTTTTTATTAAATGTTTATTTATTTTGAGAGAGAGAGACAGAGAGCGAGTGAGCGAGCTGTCAGCGCAGAGCCCAATGCAGGCCTCAAACTCACAAACCATGAGATCATGACCCAAGCCGAATCAAGAGTCAGATGCTTAACTGACTGAACCATCCAGGCACCCCATGAGGTATGAAAATTCTTAATGACAACTGTGGGAATGCTTTTTCCATTGGCAGCTGCCTAAATAATTTAAGGGTTTGTATCAGGTTTCCAGGTAAGATCTCTCTGACTTCATCTTCCTGTGATTACGTTGGGATTGAAGGCAATGAATTATGAATGTGTTCTCTTACAGGAGATCTCATCGTGTCCCTTCGTAATTTCACTATGTTATCTCTTCTCGTCTGTGTCTAAAGCACTCTAATACATGTATCATGTTCTAAAAAAGGAAAACAGAAACCATTACAAGTGTTTACAACAAAGGAAATTGAATGTGGGGCAATTGATTACACTGGTGATGGCAGAGCTGAGAAGCCAATCAAGGGAGAGCAAGGGAACCCAGAGAGATTAGCAACAGCAAAAAACCAGTTGCGTCTCTAGGCTGTTACATACGTATGATTATTATTTTCCTCAAGGCAAGTATGCAGGAGCTCTCTGTCAGGGATTACAAAGGTAGCAGATGCCCTCAGGAGATTTATGATCTGGTTGGAAGACCAGACATGCACAGGAAACACAGGGTGATTAAGGGCTAAACTGTGGGGACACACGCTAAGACCTAGAAGTGCAGTGCCTGAGGAAGAGAGAATTCTGGTGCTCCCCGGCCAATGTGGAATGAACTAAAGGGTACTTTTCACGGAGTGATTTTGCCTAACTTGAAACTTTTAGAGACTAATCTGATCCCAGGGATTCTGCCTATGAATAAGCACCTTATAACACTTTTTATTCTCTTAGAAATAATGATCTCTTATGGAGAAACAGCTTTTCTTCTCAATGAGTCAAAGAGATGTATTTATTCAGGAAGAAAGGAGACCCAGATGAAGTCATTTTGCTCTTCTAAAGAATATTGGTGGATTATGGGGCTCCTGGGTAGCTCGCTCAGTCGGTTAAGCGTCCGACTTTGGCTCAGGTCATGATCTCGCGGTTCACGGGTTTGAGCCACGCGTCGGGCTCTGTGCTGGCAGCTCAGAGCCTGGAGACTACTTTGGATTCTGTGTCTCCCTCTCTCTGCCCCTCCCCTGCTTGTGCTCTGTCTCTGTCTCTCAAAAATGAATAAAACATTTAAAAAAAAGAATATTGGTAGATTTAAAATTTATGTTCAAAATACCATATCTGACGATATATATAAATACTCCTGATAGGGTTAATTGGAGGCAAATGGCAAGTTTTGGGGTATCTGCAATAATCTTTTCTCATGTCCCTCCCCTTCTATATACTTCTTCCTTTCAATTTGGGCACTCAGCACTCTCAACTGCTCTTTTACATTTTTCACTTATTAATTCTTACTGACTTAAAGGGATCAGATTTAAACTATTTACAACATAGAATAAATTTGAATCAACATAACCTCTTATAGCCATCTGATTATATATATACATATATATATACATATAGATGTATATATGTATATACATATATATACACATATATATACATATATACATATATATGGGTATATATATGTATATATATGCAATGAAACTGACCCTTAACATTGGCATATATTTTGGGGAATAAAATTTTAAAATTAGAACATGAAAAGTGACAACAGGAAAGCATATTTTAAAGAAGTAGTTTGTGTACAGAATATTTTAAAATAAGCATTTATATAACCATTCTGAATATTTAGGAAAAATTTTGAATACTAAAATAAAAAAGAATTTTAGAATAGCACATATACATCAGGTCATAAGATAAAGTTTAATACATTTGATCATGTTAAAGGACACAAAACACAGCCAATCTAACCAAATTTCAGGCATGCATTTACATAAATATATTAAATTAAGAAAAGAAATTGTACACTTAAACATCCTTTTCACCTAAAAATCATTAAATCCACAGATCAACAATAAAATCCAATTCTCTGCATTTACCACTTTAAGATACAATCGTTCTATTTTAAAGATAACACAAATACACTTGTTAGAATTTATATGCATTATACATATATTATATATTACATAGATAGTGTGTATACATATGTAGTGTTTGTACAGATAGATAAATATATATATACATGGGTGTGTGCACACGTACAGATACACACAGATGTACTTTAGGCCATCTGTACTATTATTGCTGGACTCTAAGTTGAGCTGAATTGGAGCTGCTTGGGTGTGACTGGTTATTGTCTTTTGCTTCAAACATGTTCATCATACCCACTGGGCTCACAATCCCCCATTGTAAACATCCTTGCCTTTTTTATAGCACATAATCATTCCAGACACTTCAATAAATATATGTGGAGTTAATGAATGGAAAGGTAGCTGAATAATAGAGGATTGATCAAAGAGAACTGAATGTTTTAATAACTTGGTTAAATAAATCAGATTAAGTCAAATTTAGAGGGATTATCTGAGCCAATGACTTTGCCTATTACCCTTCAGGAGAACATTTATGCAAATCCCAACTAGTACCTATATTACCTCTGCTCCCTCAAACATGTACCTGCCTTTACCACTTGTTCTCACAGCTTTCCATGTCCTAACAGAAATTCAGGCAAGGATCCGTTACTTGTCAACAACCTAAAGGAAAATGAACAGCTAGAAGAACGAAAACACATTAGAAGAATAAGAAAGCTAACTATTCTTTAAAACTGGACTAAATTAATCATAAAGATAAAGCCAGGGAAGACACAGGGGTTTTGTTTTGTTTTTTCAGATTTCTTTTATGCTTATTGATGATAATGATTTGATAATTTTTTCATTTTAATTAGATGGGTTTCTTTCAAATTAATATGTCCTAGGGAATCAAGCCATCCAAATTCCATACTACTTTCATATCATTTATCTTGTTACTATGTGGTTCTTGGTGAAATGCATGTCCAAATATGTCCTGTGGATATGAGATACGGAGAGCACCTGATTCTCGTAAGGCTGTCAATTTAATTTCTCAATAATAGTATTATGAATAGAATGTATTAATAGTATTAGGTTCTACTATACATGTAATCTTAACTTATTCTAGGAAAAGTCATGTCTCAGATTTTAAGAATGGGGTAAAGAAACACCCAACATACATTCTGGGCATAGACTACACCAAACCTGATCACACATTGTTCATATGAATGGAAACTATTGGCTAGTCGTCAGTGCAAAGAGAAATGTACTGGAATTAGTTTCTAACTATGAAGACAAAGTTTATTATAAATTTATCCATTATGAATTTTACAGCACTGTTAATGTTCTGTTCTTTCAATCCTATGTGCTAAAAATGTGTTTTTTTAACTTAACATATTACAGTCAATTGAGATAACCCACCAAACATTTGTTAATTTGCATGTATATATAAAATATACATATATTTTGATTTTAAGTAATATATAATTGACACATGCAAAAAAATATCCTTACTGAAACTAGATGTCTGACTGTGGTATACATGAGCAAATTCTAATAGGTTAGAATTCATGTTGAATTGATATCTTTTTGTTTTTTTTTTTGTGGTAAGTCAGTGTGTAATCTGGCTTAAAAAAAAGCATTAACAATTTTTAGACCTAAGGCTTTATGTGGATACCAGGAATCCATTATTTTACTCTTTATTTTTTCAATCTGCTTATATATGACCTATACAAAAGAAAGCAAGGTAAATAATGGGCATCTGCTGGGTTCAGATTTAATTGGAGATTTTAAGAAAAGTGCTGAGCTGACAAATGAATACATCTCTTCCTAGCAGCTAGGGAGGATACCACTATGATGGACAAGAAAATGGCACTCGTGATGTCTTGAATGCAGCTCACTGTCCTAAACACTTATTTTAAAGCAATTTTAAACCTTACGAGAAGATATTTAAGAGACAGAAGTGTTGAAGTTGGCTAGGATTAGTGTTTGGCAGATTTTAAGGTCATGGTTTTAGTATTTTTCATATCAAAATGCTTCTATTATTCAGTGTCCACCTTCTCTGACATTGTTAATTATTGAAGGTATGACTAATTTGTGTTAGAGTGATGAAGAGAAAGAATGTAAGATAGCAAACGTATTTCTTTAGGATATTCTGAAGAGGGCCTTTCTGAAAGTATTCACAATAATAGGCTCACTAACTTCCTAGCACGGATACAGATATATGTACATTTTCGGGGCATGGAACTTTGGTCTGATTTCTCCGCAAGTTCAAGTCTCAACCCAGAGGTGGGGAAAGGAGAGATTTGGAATAATCTTCAAAACAGACTCCATACAGATGGTCGTGCCTGACTAGGAAATAGCTACTAACTTTTACTACTGTTAGCTCAAGCTCTTGACTGGGGTATTCTTTGTGTTTTCCTGTATCTATGATGGAACACAAGCCAAGCTGGAGCATCCAGGATTGTAGTCATTTATCCTTTTGGTTATTTTTTTCGACAGCTGTAATAGGTCGATCTAATATATTCATATTTGTCTACTGTTCTTCATGATAGAGTCTGAGCACATGTGACACTGGGAGAGGGTGTTTTTCAGGAAAACAAAGATCATAATAAGCAAAATCAATAGCTATCTACCCCAGGACATCTTCATTATGGGTGTACTACTGAAGACATGTCTGTTTAGTCAAAACTGATAGAAATGGAAGAGGTTATAGGAAGAAGGATATATGGGGGGGGGGGAGGGAAGGTGAGAGAAGAGAGACAGAGAGACAGAGAGAGAGACAGAGATGGGGGTAGAGATAAATACTATAGGTAATATTCTGTAGAGACGCTCAGAAACTTTAACATATCAATCAGCCAACTACATCTGCCTAGGGTATACATATTTTTCCTCTTAAAAATTTGGTCTTGCTTTCTCTTTTCTGTTTCAAAGCTAAGAATGTTAGACTAATAATTAAGTTTAAGTTAATGTGTGCTTTGAAAGACCCTGGATGTAGCATCTAACCTCATATTTCATACCTGGTAGGCTTATTATACAGTTTATGATTCAGAGATTAAAAAATAATACTGAAAAGAAATATATTAAGGTTGTTAATACATTGGGCTGTAATTATTTTCAAAGAAATCAATAGAGAAGAGGCACCTGCTCTGAAGTATATAAATGAAAAAGAGAATGGTTTTCTATTCAGGTCGTGCGTCTATGTTGTATGTGTATGTTTCTCTGCTCTTTCTTTATGAGATAGTCCAATAATCTGAGAAAACTTCTGAGTATTCTTTGTGAAAGAGTAAGACCTATATTTTACAATAGCCACACCGAAACAAAACTCCAAGAAGAAAAGGTATAGATGGAACTTTTTATCATCACACACCTTATTTTTTTTTTAACTCTTCTTTTCTTTTCAGTTTAATGATGTGCCAATTCAGTTTTCTTCTCATTACCTTAAAGAACTGGCCAGAAAGCAGGGTTCTATTAACCAGGACAAGAGTTTGGCCAAAGCCATGGTAGAAAGTTTTTTTTTTTTTCCAACCCTTTATAACTTCCATAACAGCATTTCACATTAAATGGACACCCAAAGCTTAAGGTCCAGAATGGACAAAGGAGTAATAATATACATTTTTCTATTTATTTATTTTAGCTTTATCTCACACATCTACACCCATACCAAGGACATGATTTTTTGCATTCTGATTGTGTGCTTCCAGAACCAAGGAGACATTGCCATTCACAGGACAAAACAATAACTTTTTCCCTAGCTCATATTTTAACCAATTCCTACCTGCCTATCATGGATCATTCAAGAGAATTCTCCAGTCACAGTTTAAAAATCTGACTGGAAAAAAGAAAGGTCAAAAGATTTTTTTGAAATGATCACTGAGTTTAAAATATGTCGCCATCAATTAGCCACCGCTATTTACGTCTCTCCCAAGAACAAAAAGAAATGGCTCCAACGACTTGACTTTCTTTGTTCGGGTTTAATATCCATGGATCTTGCTATCTTCGCTTTTAGAAGAGTTTAGCCTTTTATTCTAATGATTCACAATAGAAAAGGCAGTGACACCTGGGGTACATATGTTTTTCCAAGACATTTGAAACTCTTTCGCTTGGGAAAGGACTGTGTAAACGTTTGGGTCTGGTCAATTTAATATAGATATTTTTAAACAGTAGGACTAATGGCAATATAACACCTTTTCGTTTGGAAAGATTCTTTTGGAAGAGATGGAAAGATTAAGTGTGTAAGAAGAAACCCTGGATTTTTCAGATTTTGCTGAATATATAGCAGTATCCTTATTGTTTTCAGTGAAACTATGAACAGGAGAATGTGTAATAAAACTGCACAATTTGACAGATTTAGACAGCTGGCTCCCTCACCAGAAGTTCACATTTTGTTAATGTCACCCACGTTGAATAAGGGACGATTAGATGGTAAGGTCCATTTACAAAAATGGTTGTCAGGACATTTTTTTTTTAATTGTAAAACTTTCTGTGATGGAATTCAGTAAAAGGGCTATGAAGAGAAAGCAAAGGAGACAAAAGACTGCTATTAACCTCCAGATGCGGGCTACTGCAGGTTCATTGCAAGATTTGTCACACTCTTGGGCCAATGAAGTGTTAGTGTGACTAGAAGGGACCACCCCTTTTCTGGGGTAAGAGGGCAATTTGGTCTCCATGCTCATTTAATCCTGAGACTTCTTTGAATAGACTGTCAATTGAATCTAAATTGTGCAAAATTATGCATGCACTTTTTAATGCAGGCTATTGTTCACTAAGCACTGAACCAAGATTTCTCAACCCATTTCCATTTGGCATGAGGTCACTTGAAACTTAAGCAATCATATATGGAAGACAAGAGCAGTGTACTTAACCAACCTTTCTACATAAATGCTCACTGTGCTTTAATTGCAAACCTCTCACTTTAAAACAATAGAGAAATACTAGTTACCCGATTTTATTCTTTTTAATTGAGGTTCATATTCCCAAAGGTAAGGAGTGGGTTTGGACAGTCAGCCTGTGCTCATATTCTGTACTAGTCTACAATTTAGATTCTGGAAGAACAGATGTTTACAGAAGGACAACCCATAGCGGGTGTGTGCACGTCACGATAGATGCTTTCTCAGTAGTGCAAAGAGGCCTTATGATTTTGTTACAATCCAAATGTGGAGAGCTGGCCTCAAAAACCAGTAAGAAAAATGTCTATCAGATTTTTTGCAGTTTTAAATTAGATCATGGCATTTCTTTAAAAACCTGAACAGAACATTTATAGAAATTTATTCATACATTAACCAAAGAGGATTTTCACTGAGGTCTTAAAAGGAACATATACATTAAAACTCATATTTGGCAAGAATTAGTATTTTAAGCTTACATAGCCAAGATTTGTTAGAAACGAGTGAGCTCTTCTCCAGTGAGTTTCATTCAGTGTGAAATCTGCAACGTTCTAATCACATATACTCTGACAGTCTTGCTATGGTGAAAAGCACTTTACATATGTTTAATGCTGGAATTTTATAAGGATTGGCTGTTTTCTTGCTTTTTCATCCGTCGTTAATGATTACATGTTGGCACAGGGGCACATTGCTAGATTAGATCCACAGCACATTAAAGACTGTTTGCTTTCTCACTCCCCTTCTTTCCAATTAAGTTGGTGAAAAATGTAACTTTAGTATTTTACAGGACAGGGCAAAGATGTTTCATCTAGGTGATGTCTATATTATAAAAATAAAATAAAAAATATAAATAGGTAACACAAACCCAGTGCCTATTGTTAGATACAATATATAATAAAAGCAGACCTTTTAGGAAGATTGATTTCAGAATATGCCGTTATGATTTAATTATAAAACGCTTGAAAACAATCTTGAGATTAAACTAGAGTAACCGGATTTCTCTGCCAATAAGAAGGTAAGTGGGTAACATTCTGTAATTGGATACATTGATACAAATGAAGATTACAATTTTATATCGTCGCCCATTTAGAAATTCATCAGGGAGTTCTGAAACATTCTCTCACATTATAATCCTTTAATATAAAAATATTGCCTTTTTTATTAGATCCATCAGATTGCACAGTAATGTTTCAAAACTCCATTAAAGTTGACTTTAGCTATTACAGACAGAAAATTCCTGGGAAGTCAGATAATCTCTTTTGGTGACATAAAAATTCCGTTATCAATTTACAATGGAACTTCTGTGTAAATTACCCCACACAAGGAAATATATATATTTAAAACCCATCTGTTATGCAACCACGCGTATAGAGGTTGTGAGTGTGTGTGTGTGTGTGTATGTGCATATGTGAACAAACGTGCCGACATACACACACAGGATCTGCACATTTCTGGAAATTATTTTTAAATTAATAAAAGAAAATGAAATCACAGGAAGTGTGTAGCAGGAGAACAGTCTTTCTTTTTAATGACAGGATAAAAAATAAATGCCCATTGGAAAGGAAGATTCAAACAGTCCCAGAAACTATACAATGTAACTTGTTAGATCCAGCAAATAAGATGTCATGTCAATGATCTGATCAAGAATACCTGCCCTGGTCACTCTGCGGATGTTTCTGTCCACTTGTTCACACTGAGGACCAAGATAGCCTTTTTTACAGAGGCACTTGTTCGGTCGCACACAGACGCCTCCATGACGACACGCTGGCTCACATTTTGCTGGCAGGAAAAGAAAAAGCAACAAAATCACACTCTCATTCTGCATGTCAGAAACAGCATCGAGTAACGAGGCCAACAAATATCTGATGAGTAAGGGAAAGGAGGGGAAGAAGGAGGTCGCCAGTCAAACAGTGATCCAAAAGATAGTAAATAACAAGAAGGAAAGAAGGTTTCCAGACCCACAGTTATGTGGGAGCCAGGACTCAGTAGAGAATGGGAGACATTTCCAGGGAAGCGGAGATCACGGGAAACCATTTCAAGCCCTTGCAGAACTGACTCTATTTAAAACGAGGATTTTAGTTCTTCAAATATGTCTGCTCCATGAGGGCATTTCCAACAGAGGGCCTTCCAAGTAACTCCATGTTCCCATTTCTCCAGGGCAGGGCCTTAATGTGGGAAGGGCCTGGCCTGAGAGGGAGACGCGGCAGCTTCAGCATCTCCTGGGCAACATACAGGAAGGGTCAGTTCTCAGTTTTGGTCAGATGGAACAGCTCCCTTAGATTCCTCCTGCCTTTAGCTCCCAGGGGGTGCACAGCATCACTTCATCTCTGATTACACTTTGTGGCCCCTTCTGGGGCAGTGCAGCAGGCCAATCCTTTTCAGGGTGGCTCTCCACACAGAATCTCTTCATAAAAGGATTTTTACCACCACAATATAGGTGGGAAATGTAAAGATTTACTGCTAAAATGAGATGGAGAGATAAAATTGGTTTTAGAAGTTGTCTTTTACTGATGGGATAAATGTGGGCTGTGCAGCCACCGAAGACAGAAACAAATTCCTTGAACACGTGTCTTCATACTTTCAAGGGACAGGGTTATTTTAACCTTTTCAAATGCATTAATCAAAACCCAGGGGTCTGTGGTTGACAAATGGAAAAGAAACAACAAGAGAATAATGAGATGATTTTCTTTTTTACATTTGTGGTTGATGAACTGTGTTAGTATATGAATAAAGTTCTTGCTTAGGTCAAAAATATCATGAATAGATTACTTTTATAAAATGGTTCTGATCTTATATATTCAAACTATTTAAACTGATAAGTGGAAAGATTAAAGTACTTTACTGAAATAAAACTTCATGTTATCTCAAAGAATGTCAATTTTCATTTACATCACTTATTATTATCATTATTTATAATGGTATGTATAATGCACCTATATTTAAAATAATTTGTTTACCCTCAGTTTAAACATACTGTTGCTAGAAGGCACTCAATAAATATTTGTTATCTGATAACTTGAGGTGACTTATGAGGTCAGGCAAAATGCAAAGTAAGGAATAAAACAGAATGGACACTATATAAAACAAGCAGAGAGAATAGGTATTGTCAGGCATTAAAGGGGGCAGAATGAAGATACATTATCAGGAATTAGAATATCTGTGCATTTGAACACTGATCCTCATTTTTTTGTCAACTAAGGAAAAACAAGACAGAATGGGTAAATAAAATGTAAGCAGCTATTTTAACTAATGTAATTACCTAATTTCTGTAGACTTTTAATTATAACTCTCTCCTAGATATATAACCATGGTATTAATCAACCAGGTAGTGTTATCAGTGCTGAATCAATTTAAACTTAAATTGTACACTGCGTATGTGACTGTAAATGTGGCCTACGTTTTGTTAGACAATATATAGAGAAGTTACGGTTGAAATTTTTGGAACAAATATGTTCTTCAAATAAAGAAAAAATAACATTTACACATTAACTATAATATTAAGTATGAATTTGTAACACATTTTCATTGGCAAGAGAGGCTTTAAGATTTGAAATATTTGTAAGTAATATGTATATGCTGGTTGTTGAAAACGCATTAAAAATGCATTTGTCCTTATGGAAATCTCCTCCAGTTTTACTGAGAAGTAATTGACATGTCTCACTGTAAAAGTTTCAGGTATACAGCAGGATGGCTTGGTTCACATATATTGCAAAATGATTTCCCACAATAGATTCAGCTAACATCCATCATCACATATAGATAACATAAAAAGAAAAAAAAATTCTCCCGAAAATGGATTTTCACCACATACATCCTAGACGCTAGGTATCTGAATCTATCTAATTTTCTTCACACCAAGTAGAATTTAAACATCATTGCATGTAATTGAGGAAATCCCTGGTTAAAGGATAGGGTAACCGTGGAATAAATCTCTTCTGCTGTCTCTGAGCAGCTGCATACCTAGTTGATGGTTCACAAGGGAGTGGCAAAAAGAATTAAAAAATCTCATAATGTGCCGCTAGATAATTGCGTTTTCTCCTTTTTATTTAATAACACCCACTGAAAAACCCTGTTTTTAGTGCACTGTAGCAAGAAGGCAGGCAGTAAAGTTAGGGAGGGCATTTATGGGGTGTCTGGAAAATGCTGGCACTTGGAGAGGGGCTTTGCAAACACTAGGTCATTGGCTGGTGTGAAATCTCAAACCTAGGACTGAGAGCCTGTACAGATGATCTAGTTGTGCTGTTTTCATTTTTCACCATTTGAAAGGACTCAGTTATTTCAGAGTCTTTTACATTTATGATTAACTTATATACGTGAATTGTTTACATTAAGAGAATGGGAAAGATTTCATTTGCAAGTTCAGAAACAGACTGAGCATTCACATTATAAACGGCTAAATTCTGAGCCGTAGATAATTCTAGAAGACATAGCTGATGGTAAGTTCTTGAGTTCCTAAGGACTGCCCCGTGCCCAGCCTTTCCTGGGCACAACAGATATACTGACCAATTCTGCAGAAGTGCCCTTCCCATCCTGGGGTGCAGCAACACTTGCCCGTGGGGGTACAGTAGCCGTTCCGACAGAGCCGGGAGCATTCCGAAGTCAATGTCTGTGCAGGCTGTACCGTGGCTCTGCACTCCTCGGGCATCAGAGGTCTGTGTCAAAAGACAATGGATCAAAGTGTATTTGGGCTGAAAACCAGTATCAGGATGAAATCCCGCGAATTTGTAGCTTGCAAAGCATTTCTTTTTCTTTCTTTTAAGTGGGTCAGAAAGATGGACAACTTTTCTGAGAATACAAAATACATGCCAATGAAGAAACAACCTAACCAGTTCTGGACCAGAGAACATCATAATGAACATTACAAGAAATTTTGTCATGATGGGGCGCCTGGGTGGCGCAGTCGGTTAAGCGTCCGTCAGCCAGGTCACGATCTCGCGGTCCGGGAGTTCCAGCCCCGCGTCGGGCTCTG